AATGTATAAAAATGTGTTGGAGCGTAATGTGTAGTTTATTGGGTCCAATGAAACGTAAATCAATTACCCATTCTGTGGTAAGATCAACAACGGTGAATTGTCAGTACGTACATATCATCATTTTGCGGACGTCGATTTCTTTGTTTCCCATTCGAATTGTATTTCAAAGCAGACAAATAATTTCCCACGTGTATTTTCAAGGAATTTTTTTAGCAAAACAAAAAAAAAAAAGTTTCAAGAGAATCGAGGATTTTGTTGAAAATTGTAAAAGTGTTTTTTTTTTTTTTTGTTGCGGTCATTCTGTTTGCGTGAAAGTTGTAAAACCCGGCGAAACTGGAAATGGAAATTTTTAGGTCTCCGTTATATCCCGGTGAAATGTTCTCTGTTTCATCCGTAATTTCGCGCTTTAAACCTTTAAAAGCCGCAGTTTTCTACAAAATCGACGGTGGAACTGCTTCGCGATAAATAAGTGCAGTTTGCGATGGATATGGAATTATTGATCTACGATTGTTTCCGTGATTTATGGCCGCGGATAATGCATTTGAAATGTGTTTAAAAGCCGGGGCCGGGCCGTTTCTGCACGATCGAAAAACAACTTTGCTCGGCTATTGCTCAGGCACGAGAGAGGAAATTTCACCGAGAGGCGAGTTTAAGAACGGTCCAACTATAAAGAGAATCTAATCTTATTCAAACTGAATTTAACTTTCTTAAAACATCGAAATCCCCATCAAACATCGAAATTTATCGCGAAACGGAACTTCCATTCCCGAAGAAATGAAATTCGCGTTTCAACATCGTGCCAACGCACCCCCGGAGCATGGTCTTCGTCGAAACTGTTTGTTTCGCCGCAGTTCGAATTCTAATTCGACCTGTTCAGCCATGAAACAGAATTTACCTCTGGTGAATTATTTAACACTCGCGCGAATTCTCTTTCTCTCTCTCTCTCTCTCTCTCTCTCTTTCTATCTCTCTATTTTACTCATCTACGCACACTTGAACGCAAACGAATACGCATACGCGGAGAAATTCGACGAGTAATTTTAGCTTTAGTGGTCGCGCGCGGAGAATAGTTTCCGAACTGGAAATAATTCGAACGAAAATTTAAAACACAACGACGGAGGAGAAACTGGAAAACTGTTCGGGGAAACTCGGAATTCATCCGTTGGTTGGCGAACGTAAAAGCCATTTTTCCGAGGGTTGGGTCGGTAATAAAATACAGTCCCGTTTCATCTGCAGAACAGTCCTCGACTTTCAAGAAAATATGCTGTCCGGCCAGCCGTTGCTCGAAGGACTCCGCTCCGGAAGCACCATCTCGAATCTTCACCTTTCCTCGCTATCATCTGTTTTAGCCTCTATTCTTCCAGTGGGTCTGCTCTTTCTCACAAACGCGCATAATCCGCGCGAAATTACGATCCACGGGTGCATAAATTTCAACGAGGTGTAAACACGGGGAGTAATCTCTTCGAAGAATGATCTCTGGTTTGCATTTCTGGCCAAGGAGATTCTTTCTTCGACGTGTATTACATCCGCTCGAAAGTCTTAGAACACTTTTTACTTTTACACAGATTTTTATTGGTTTCAATTGGCACTATTTTGTTCGCATGTTATTTCTTACTACTAGTATGTGTTTCCCATTTATTCAGCGTACATTTTAAATTTACATTTTGCATTTTATAATAACACGATAGTTACTGAAAGTTATCCCATCAACTGAAAGTTTCGACAAGAAAAATATGTTTCCACGACATAAAAATTACACTGATTATCTCGTTCAATTTTGAAATAAATGTAGTATACTTATTCCAAGAGTTTTTGAGCTTGCGTGTACATTAGAACCTCCGAGAGAGCGTAGAAAAATTAGGAGCGAGATCGTTCCGCGGGGACTGTGACAAAAACTCACGTAGGGACAAGACAGCCGAAAATTTTTCTCGTTGCGAGCGCGCATCGTCGACGGCTCATTCTCGAGAAAATGTTACGGCGGATTGGTTGTTTTGCGTACGCGTAGCCAGCTGATACAAAAACAAATTGAACAATTTTGTCAAGCCGTAGCCGTACCCGGTGTGTTGCAACGAGTGCCGAGAAAATTGCCGTGCCACCGTGACACACCTCGTGTGGTGGTGGTGTGTGTGTGTGTGTGTGTGTGTGTGCTACGGTTTGCCTGATGCGAGGCAGTGGATAAAACGACGTCGCGAAGAAGCGCGACGAAGAACAGGGAAGATGGCAATTCGAGTTGTTCCCGCTTTATCCGGTTGATACGACATTGCGGCGCTGTTTTGCCCTTCGGTGTTCTCGCCGAGGACATTTAAATAGCGCGTTACCACCCTTAAGAAAGACCATTCAGCCCTGCTTTTTCCACTCCGTTCTTCTTTACCCCCTTATCCTCTGTCCCGGTGTGTGTTTCACCTCGGCTCGGTGCCCGGAAAAGGAGACGAGACGAAAAACACCGCCTCGAATCTACTGGAAAGTTGCACAGTTTCGCGAAAACTTCAGAGAAGGGTGGAAAGAAAAGGTCCGAGTGTGGAGTAGGAAGAAGGGGAGGAGCGGCAAGAAACGCATGCACGTTGGAACGGAGTAGACAAAAGTCAAAAGTAAAGTCGATGCCGAGGCGTGGGAGTTGGAGAAGGAGACGGGTGGAAAGGAGAAGGGTGCGACGGTGGCAAGAAAAGATCGCGCAGCCCGTTAGCTGAGAGTAGAGAATACATAAGGCAACTAGTTGGAGATGTCGGTGCTGCCATCGGACGGGGTGTGCGGCAATTCCAGCTGGCAAAGAACTCGGGAGGGCCCCTTTGATTATTTAATAACGTCTAATTGCAATAATTTAACCGGCGATTTAATGAACGGCGGCGACGTCGATGATACTATTAAGATTGCTTGTAGCTGCCTCGCCGAGTACAATAATTCGCTTCTCTTCTCGATACCGCTTCGATCGTTAGTTAATGACGACCGATAAACAAGTAGACGAATTAATTCTTGAAAGTGATACGAGCAGTTGAAAGAAACCGGAGATGAAAAGAATGGAAAAGGCTGCATCCCTTTCGCAATTAACGTCGTACGATCTTTCAGAATAAACGACAGAACATTATTTGCATTTGAGGGATGCTTGGAATATTTTCTAAAATTTAATACGTCCCACGGTGTGAAAGCAAGCGCGTATCGTATTTTTCTACAACGCCGTATATACCAGATATCCCGATTGGAAAATCGAAGTTGAATAAACACAGTTTGATCCACTTTTAACTTTCCACACATCTCGCCTCTTTTTCGCCATCAGCCCGCGGTCGTCGAGTTGGACATTCGATCCGATTATTCCGGTACGGACAGGACAGAAGAAAAAAGGAACGGAAAAGGAAAAATCCTCCTCGTGTCGTTTTCAATTAACAACGCGCGCCGGTATGATCTTCCTCGGGGTATTTAACCGGACGTGCCGTTAATTTCATTTTTAACCAGTTGTAATGCTGCAATTACGACGACCCAACCCCGACGTTGCTCGTTTTAATTTACACAGGCCGCGAGCGGTTCGGCCGCCGGTAAACGTTTTCACTTGTTTAATTTACAATCGCCGCGTTCCGTGACGCATCCCCCTTTATCTCCGCGAGGTGTGAAATTAAAATTTTATGACGTACTCTAATTTCCATTAGCGGTGAGAAGGGAGGGAAAGGGACCTCCGATAAGTGTGCGAGTAGCGCGTTCGTCAAACGGCAAGGGTGGCCGAACGTAACGCGTTAATCTGACATCGATGTGAAAAGACCGCGTGCCACCGTTATCGGCCACCATGGAGAGATTACGTCAGAATTTATGACCGCTGCTTTCCATGGAGAACGACACATTGTTTTCTTCCTTTCGCGATTAGATTATCGCTGATTCCTGCGTAAAAAGAAAGAAAGAAAGAAAAACAAAAATTGCAGAAATAGAATGTTGTTTCAAACGTTGAAACTGTTCTCGGGGATAACTTTTTATTTGGGCGTTGATAAATTAAGCGGAAGTGATAGCGGAATTAATTCCTATGATACGCAAGGAACGGATAAGTAGAGATGGATCGTTCGTGATCAGACGTAATTGATATCTGTACATCTTTTATGATTCGAAATATTTTCACACACATACTTCGCGTATATTACGTATACTTCGAGGTACATTTATTTATCGAGATTTTTAAAATCGAAAATATTATTACCTGCTTTCAAAATCACAAGATTATTGA